TTTGTATATCTTTTTGTTGCAGGTTTAATTTGATTACTTTCTTTGGCAGTCTAACAATTTTTTGTGAAGGGCGTGTGACCTAATGCTTTAATGGTGTCTAAGTGATTAGAGGTTGTACATCTACTCTTGTATGCAACTGCTGGTACTTTGAGCAGGGCTACTGAACATTTCTAATCCCTAGTAAAGATAAGTAATGATGGTTAACCTCTATTGAATTATAATTTCATATTCATGAAATTTTTATAAGTTCTTTTTGAAATATTTTAGGAAACATCATGAAAATATGAAATTTGTTGCTTTGAGAGTCTATTTTTGGTCAAATTCATGCTCCGCGCAACTTGAAATATATCTTGATGTTTCAAATTAACCATTTGCACTTCGACGTTTTTTGGGCATACATTTATGTATACAAAATTGAGAATAAGATAATCTGCTATGTATAATCTTAATTGTTCATAGTTTTCATATATTAATCTGTATTTGAAATAAATAAAAGAATACATTTTCAAAGTTATAAGTTGCATATTATTTTTATATGACTTGTGGTTAATTCAAAGTAATAAATTGCATATTACGTAGTATTATTATTAATATGATATTATTATTATAACACATATTATAATACAAAGTATCTATGCACATCTTAAAATACTGTTTAGTTCAGGCAATATTATTTTGCTACTTACAACTTTGTTATTATTAAATGTTGCAGGTATCATTGGAGGCACATGTTGGCATTCTTAAAAATATATTTAGATTCTTTATTTAGCTAATGTATAAGAATAGGTGCTGGGACCTTAAAAGGTTGCCAAAAATGTAATATTATTTATTTTCGGTCTGTAATTTTATTTAGTTGTAATTAGGGAATGCATGTATCACTGGCCATCTTCACATGCCCAGGTATGCACTTGTTAAACACCATTTGCAGCATATAAAATTTATCTTGTGTCATGCATATCATAAATTTTAAATACCAAGTAGCGTACACCTTATATTTGAGTAGCATAAAATTATTTTTATTATAATAAGGACATACAACTACTACAAATTACAGTTATTTTCATGTATGCCATATTGCCATCCTCGTGTATAAGTAGAAACAACCCACAACATTTCCAAAAGCTTTATGGCTTCTTCTTAGAGTGTCTTTTTCCTGAAACATAAACAGATTTGAATCAGTAATCCAAATTGTAGAATACTAAAAAAATTAAGGTTACATTCGTAGATTGGTCTTGATGAAGCTGATATGTTCCTTAATACGCAAACCTTGGCAGTAATTTTAGTAGCCCAAAATAGGAAAACCTAAGATGTTTAAATTATCATGACCTGCACACACAAAGCATAGGCATAGACAAAATAAACATCATAGGATGCATCAATTTCCAAAACAACCACACTTAGAGTTGCACATAGGGTTTATCAGCTGCCCCCTGAAATTAAGGTGAACATAAAGTTTGGCCCAATAGCAGCTTTTGGGCCCAAAAGATAAACAAAACATAGGTTTCAAAACAATGCATCTTAAACAATTCAAGTCTTCAACTAAATCAAAGTGGCTCTTCTTTGATTTTGATCTTCAGCTTTTTTCCAACTGCACTGCTACAGAAGTCGTCGTTTAGATTCCTCTTAATTTGGTCGTTCATTTCTAGCACAACTTCCCGTTGTGTACTTGGGATTGGGGAATCCATCACCTCAATTCTTTCAACATCCTGTTGGCAACAAACATAATGATAGATATAAAATGTTTTACTTCATTTTTCATAATAACTAAAAAGTTAAGGGTATCTACCTTGTCCTGATCCAGCAGCCCTTTTCCCTTTCGGGCTGTAAAGTTTTCACACACCGTTCCAGAAGAACCACTCTGTATCAGTTGTATAAACATCATAAGTATTCTTAAAATATTATTCTTGTATTATTAGAGTTGAAATGTAAGTATTTCAAACCTTTTCCTGGTCTAGATCATCTTTACTAAGTTGTTCCTGCTCTTTGTCTGCATACAAAGCCAGAATAGATGGGTCTCGAATCATACAAACCACCCCTAAAGATAGTGTTCCTCCATAGGAATTTTCTTCTGCCCTTTTCTTAAGACTGATTTTAAACAACCCCCTTTGGTCAACCAAGCTTTCAATCTCTTCAGGGAATCTCGTTGGGTCTCCTGTTTTCTGCAATTGTATAAAACAAAATTAGGCTCTCATCAATTCACCCAATTAGTTTTTTCAACATGCCATTGTAATATCAAACTTCGTTTAGTACCTTTCCCACCTCGCTGCGTAATGTTGCTGAAGTCTTTCCAAGAATATCCGTGCATTCTCTATCCCACAACATGAAGGCCCCATGGGCAGTGTCATCCATTATCCCAACACTAACTTTGTACCTAGATGTTTTAGACAATATTACATATTCAATCAATACATATATATATAGTTGTCTGTAAACAATCGTTTTTTGTAACTATATCACCTGTACACTCCCTCGGCAACAATAATGTTGCATGTTGCACACATGAATCTATCATCCTCTTGTTTCAACTTCCTGTTACATGTGTTACAGCTCAAGTAACATCATTCCCTAAAGTTTTCAATAGAAACAATTTCTCCTAGCACCCAGTAAATACCATCCTACACAATTTGTTTACATAAACAAATTAGTTGTGTAAATCATTATTATTATAAAGTAAACATGTTTAACATTTCAAATAGAGTCAAACAACCACCTCGGTTTCACTCATAAGGTCCTTCATTGTTGTTAACTTTACCCTACCACTTAAGGCATCATCCCTGCTTCCTTCACCAATAGAATTTTGGGTGAAGTTTGTGACGGTAGCATTGTCTTCATTGTCTGGTGGAAACCTAGATGGTAAATACGAAAAGTCAATAACACTCTGAGCAAGGCACCATTAAACAGAAATAATTTATAAAACACTTACTGATTTCTGAACTCAACCATCTCTGTGGTGTTACCGTTTAAGATTAGCTTGGAAACGTCGTAGGATGAAGATACGGAGACGGTTCCTGTGATTTCAACAACGCGTTAAAAAAATTACAAATATTTTATTAAACACCTTCACTTAAAACATTTATGTCTAACCTTGATATCTTTTAGGTCGACATAGTTGGAATATTATGAAGAGGTTATCTACCCCGTTTTGATTCACATAGTCACTGAATTGGTCAATGTATTTGTTCCATAATACACATCCAATCCGATTACCTCTGCATATTTCACTCACATGAATTACTTTATTGGTTTGAATCATTTGTTTTATTTATTAAGACTAATAAAATCCAAAAACATAATAAAACGACAACTACTTACTCTCCATCCCCCAATGTTAACTCCAAGAGCCTTTCTGTTCTCCCATTAATGATATGTGTTTGGGCAGGTAGTTTGCCCAAATACTTTCCAATGACGTCTGAAAAGAGTATTTGATTTACATCGAAAAATATTTTTACCAAAAATATATTAATCATGGAAACCGTAGAAATATTGGTTTTGAATAAAGATTTGTACCAATAAGTATTTTGTCATTGATGATCCTTTGAGCTTGCAGCATCTCAAAAGGTTGAAAATCAAACACATGGGATGGAAAGTCTATGACTTCATTCTTAACTTGGGTTTTGCTAATAAATTGAATGAGGTATGGATGATTGGTTGTTTTGAAAGTTTGGTAGTTATCAACCACCAAAAATTTTCTGATGCTATACACTCCATTTTCTTTGATTTTAGACTTGAAAAAACCCAGCTGAGGTCTCTTAACAGTAGCATGAATCCGAGTTCCCTATACAAAAAGGAAACATAGATTCAAGTTCAAGAATATAACACTCCCAAATAATGAAAATCCAAGAATTCAGTCACGGTTTACCACTGCATCATGAAGAACCAATTCAAGAGTCTCGCCCCCTTTAGCATGGATAGGAACCTCATACGCCCTTATCACTCTGACTTTGACTGCCCAAGTGTTTCTAGTATGATCAACAACATCAAGTAGTGACCACATGCCTGCGTTTTCATTTGCCTCAGTCATTGTATAGTACAATGGTTTTAGTAGTAATGCGATTTGGGTTGCTGTGCTGATTGATTCAAGTCTTAGGTCTTTATATAGTAATGCAAGGGAAGCTCTCTCAGTTGAGTCTGTTTTCTCCATTGGGTATTAACCTCAATTAAATCTCTTAGAACATATTTTCGTACTCAGCATTTAATGCTCTAAGAACTAATCTGAATCTCTTAGAAGATATTTTCGTACTAAGCATTTAATGCTTTATTAATGTATGCAACAAACTTATTTTAAACTCTTGGTTGAAATCTCAGTAGCTGTGTTATAGACTATAAAAATATTAAACAGTACAATTATAAGCAGAGTTCTGGAAGATATCTCTATACATTGCAATAGATCCTCTTTCTTGAGCCACCAAACGTATCTTATTCAATCACAGAGCATTAAATGCTCTGTGAGCCTCAAAAGAAATCAATTCGGGTTTCTTGAGCCAGCAAACCAAGCATTAAATTTAGCTTCATTTAATTGGAGCAAGGATGAGCATTAAATGCTTGCATTGAGCCTCAAAAAAATACGAAGTCATAGTACACATCAATTGACAGCTTGGAATACATGTTCAGAACCCACATGGATCAACCGAACCAAATTGACCCGACCCACTTTTGGAGCAGCGTTTTGGGCGGGAAAACCGATCTGTTTTCTCCTGCTTTTGTATAGAGAAAGATTTCCATCTCCCCTTTGCGGGTGTGACTACCCAACTCTTGATTTGCTTGACAAAGATTTCTAGTTATCTAATTAATTGGGTGTGTCTATTACCCTTTCCTTTACTACTGATATAGTCAGTAGCAACGCACGTTTCATCCTCAAAACTAACTAGAAATAACTACTGCTGCTTGAATTACTTTTTAACTAGGATGTTTACTATCCTACGTTATTATCTTTTGATTTCCTTGCCCCCATTCCCCGATCTGTAATCTGTTTCACTTTATATAGATACTGATGGTGGGAGCTTTGGGGAATAGTGTTGCTGTATATCTGTACAACCCTCTACAATGCATGAAAATGCGGCCATCATTTTAGTCAATTTAGAAATCTTGAAAAGAAACAATAAAAAAGAGCAGTCAAGTGCACATTAGTGTTCTGTGTTCGAAGGGTTTCACCACAAAGTGTACAGGCGTGATGTGACCAGGACTTGTCTATAATATAAATGTGATATATGTAGGTTGTCGTGAGTGGGAGTGGATGCAGAGGTCGCCGACGCCAAAGAGCAGGGGCAATTTCCATGGCGAGATGGATGCGGGTCCGCTGCTTCTGTTGGAGTATAGAGGGGGTGATTCTTCTTTATCAGCAGAACTTTCAGCTGAGTACAGAGCGTGTGGCGGCGGTGCACAGTTCAGTGACAACGCGAACTACGGCTGCTGCCACAGTTCTTCTTTCCGATGGCAGCACAACCGGACTAAGGAGTGCAGATTCCAGCGGCTCTTTCTCTTCTTCCTCTCTAACTTGCCACTAGATTTCCACTAGATTTCAGGCAGGTTGTTCTTCTGCATTGGTCCGCTTGTTTGCTGCTTTTTTCGATAGATGTGGCAGGAAATCAGAAGATTGACTGGTCAACCCTAGTTGAGCCAAGATTTGTTGTGTATCAGCGCCAGGATGCTTTTAAATTATCAAAAACTGATAAACACCAATGTTGATTAGTACACGTCAATAAATTGGACTGAAAATCTAATTTGATAAAAACAACCAAAATTGATTAACAACACCTGTTAATAAATTGGACGAAAATCTAACTAATTGACACAAAATTAAACCCGGAAGTCAATCAAATGTGGTAATAAGGATGTTTTTATCTGGTATGGCCTTGTCTGGTGTGTTTAAGTATGGTCTGGTCTGATCTGGTAAATATCTGATCTTTGAGTATTTTATAACTATCGAAGTCTAAATCAAGTCTGATCTGGCCTATTTTGGTCAGGGAGTGAAATAAGTCCAAGTAAAAACATCCTAAATAAATGATTAAATAGAAAATTTGAACATTATCAATAAGTAAGCTTTCCCTTGTCAATTTTTGACAAGAGACCACTCTCAAGACTTCAACTCGTGATCTCTAGGCCATATAGTAATACCCTAACTGAGGCATGGAGGCACTGCTTTTGAAATGAAACATCAAGTCTGAAGAAAAAGATAAGATGCTTACAAATGGCTTGTGTTCAACCAATAATCATCCTGCAAACACAAGCATGACATCAGATGACCAGGGGTTTTTGTTATTCGCTCTGAAACAATAGAGAAATTTAACTATGGCTAAGAACTGAACAGATACATGTATTTATATGCAGAATTGGACTCTACAGTGAGATCCGCCTACATGGGAGCCTCAATCTCATCCTACACAAAGTATATGTCTTGAACAATAAATAAAACTGTAATATGGAATCTTAAATCAAATAATCTAGAGGAAATCAATTAATAATAAACAAAAAGCCACTATTTCAAAAATGCTAGTTTACTTTCTATATTGTCCCTATTTAATTAAAGCTATTGTATCATTACAGATATATGATCGGGTGACTTGTACTCCTAGCCTCTTGCAATTGAAAGATACCATGCATAGCATGTTTCAAAGCACATAAAATTGCCCAAGAGTTCTAATTACACCTCTGGTTGAAAACAACACTGCGGAATAACTTTAAGCTTGAATACTATTTGTGAGGTAGTGAGGTGTCATCTCTGTTCAAAATAGAGTCCTTATTTAGTACGCATACTCATAAATTGGATTATCCATCACACACATGATGTGAATCGTTAACTACCACCAGAGTTTGCAACCCGATGTCCTTGGATAAAAGCTTGCAACTTTTCAGTTTGACCTATAGCAGAGAACCATCCTGTGAGAATCTCCAGGGTAACATAATCAGGATTGCAGAGGTTTTCAGTCATTTGGTCCATCAATACAAAAGCCCTCTCAAGCCAATTCCTCTCCCGAAGACCTTTAAGAATTGCATTGTACGTTGTTGTATTAGGCCTAACACCCTTGGCCCTCATATCATCATTCATTAAAGAGAGGGCATCTTCAACCTTGTCTCTCTTACACAGTGACTCGATCAATATATTGTATATAACTCGATTGGGCGACACTTTTGAACTCAACCACATCGTCTCAAATAGTCTCATAGCTTCATCAGTTTTACCTGCAATGCAATATGCATGAATTATTGCTCCATAAGTGATAACCGTAGGCACCACCCCCTCATCTATCATCTTCTTCAACAATGTGTGGGCCTTTGAAAATCCCCCCTTCTTACTGAAGAATGATATCAATGTGTTGTATGTAACACAGTCAGGCTTGATGATGCCACTTTGTTCTATTTCTTGAATCAACTCATGAACCTTATTCCATTTGCTCCTCCTGCAAAATCCAGCAATGAGAATATTGTAGCCAGTAATGTCTAGTAAAAACCCGGCTTCTTTCATCCTTGACAACACAAGACAAGCGTCATCCATCCTTCCAGCCTGGCTTAACCCAGATATCAAGCAGTAGTACACAACTGCATCTGCGTAACACCCACTTTCCGTCATTTCAGTAAATAATTGCATTGCCTTCTCAATATTGTTGACGTTGGAAAAAGCAGTAATAAGTATGGTGTAACTAACTGCATTCGCCTTAACACCCTTCACTTGCATTTCAGTGAACAATTTCATTGCACTGCCGACCCTTCCATTTTTACACATCCCATCAAGTAAATTATTATAAGTAATCGTGTTTGGCACTAGTTCAGCATCCTTGGTCATCTGGGAAAAAAGATTAACAGACATATCAATCTCTCCAGCTTTGCAAAACCCACTAATCAAACAATTATAGGTAACGGTATTGGGTTTACATCCATTCTCATCCAACCTCATCTTTTCCATCAACTCTAATCCTTCTTCTGTCCTCCCAACTTTGCATAGCCCATCAATCAAAGTGTTGTAAATGACTGTATCAGACTGAACAGCATGAATGTCTTCATTCCCATCCTTCATCTTTTCAAAAACTAGCAAGGCCTCATCAACCTTATGAAGCTTGCACAAATGATTAATCAAAATCCCGAATGTCATTACATTTGGTTCAATTCCCTTTTCCTTCATCATGTTTGTGAGCATATTCATCTTCTGAAAATCATGCTTCCTACCAAGCCCTGCCAAAAGGGCATTGCAGGAACCGGTTTTTACCAGACCACCAGACCTAATCACATCGTGCAAAAACTCCCATGCTTTATCACATCTACCACTTCTGCAAAACATGGTTACTAATTTAGATATCCAGATGTCATCCGGGAACAGTCCATGTTCACCAAATCTTGAAACAAGGGCTTGAATTTGATCCTCACCTATCACAGCTGGTGTGCCTCTCCCGCCTCCCTTCCTCCAAATTTCAGACAATAACATGTCCAAGGTGTTCTGGTTTGGCCGTAAAGAAATGTCTGTCTGGAGCAATTCGTCGAGCACCTCCAAAGCATCATCAAGACAAGCCCCTCTAACCAAAGCAACTAAAAGAGTATTCACCACATTTCTGTTCCTCAACTCAGGGCTAAGTTCATGGAATACGTTTACCGATTCCTCGAACATTTGAGCTTCGGTGAAGCAACGGATCAGCATCATTGCCGCATTAATGGACAGAGGGATTCCATTTTCCTTAGCAGAGCAAAAGAGATCGTAGAGCTTAGTGGATGAGCTCTTAGTCTCCCGCATTGCGTGCTCGATGATAGCTTGAAACGCCAGGGAGAGAGATGATGAAGAGGGAGACTGAGAAAGTAATACATGTTCCTTGAGGATGTCAAAGAACAGTTGCGCCTTCTCAGCTGAACCCAATTGACGGGCGATCAGGAGGACTACATTGGGAGAAGGAGGACTGTGTAGGAATTCATCGAGTTCATGACTGGCCCTCCAATCTATTGGGTCTGTTTCTCGTAGAAGTGAGACTAGCCGGGAAACAGGAGACGGGGAATCCAAAATTGGTTTCAACGGCGTCTTAGGAGAAGAACCGAGTCCGCCATGGTCGGAAGCTGCGGAACTCCAAAGAGAAGTGACGCGCGCGATGATTCCACCGTGTCTCCTGAGTTGGAGGCGGTGGCTAGCAGCTACGAATATCATATTCAGAGAGCAGGAAACACGGGCAAAATATAAACCACCGCTACAGTACTACTCTTCTATCTCTACCGTTTTCCACTCCAAGCTCATCTAGACATCTTATCCATTCTCCTCTTTTATATCCTTTCACTTCCAAGTTAGAAATTCTATTTTTTAAGTAGAACATCTCCAAGAATTTTATATGTTTTGTTTTTGGTAAGTTTTTGGCATTAGTAAAACTTAACAAAAATACATAATTTAATTTTTTGTTTTCTTAGCATCAAATCTTTCTGGATTTCTCTCTTTCAATATTTTTTCTCTTTTTTTGGAAATAAACACCCAATTTTATTAATCATAAATATACTTCCTAAGGTCGCAAATACAAATAGGTGGTACATCAAACCATAAACAATCAGACCGAAATAGCTTGCTTAGCCAAGACATCAACAATCATATTCGCTGATCATCGCACATATTGGACAAAAATATCAACACTTAATGCTATCATGTGTCTAATATCATTGCTGACGTCACTTCATAGGAGCTCCCCCGAGCATTTCACTCCCTGGACAACAAGTCGTGTGTCATACTCGTTAATCACACAATGTCATCCTCCCTCTATTGTCCACTTAACAGCCTCACTAATAGCCAAATACTCGGCAGTCGTTTCTTGAAAACATCCTACGAAGCTCTTTCTCATCCCTGCAACAAATCCCCCCTCGTCATCTCTAATAATCATACGTATCCCCCCTCCTCATGCCACTCTGACCCAATGCCTCATCCACATTAAATTTTAAGGGCATCTCCAATAGGGTAATGGATTGAAGTAAAGTCTATCCTACGTGGCATGTGAGAGAGATAGACATAAGATAGATAATTTTAATTTATATATATATATGGGTGAGATCACATACAAACCATGCTTAACTTACTAACCTACAAACTCAATAATATGCAACATTTTGAACTTGAATATGCAGTACAAATAATGTAAAGATGCACTCTTTGAATTTCATAATGCAATACAAATAATGTAAATATGAAACTGTTATTTTATGGCTTGAATAATATGAAACATTTTGAACTTCAATGTGCAATACAAATAATATAAAGATGAATAAAATGGGAGGACTAGTTTGTATATGATCTCATCTCTGCATCTTTACATTATTTTTACTGCATATTGAAGTTCAAAGTGATGCATATTATTGAATTTGTAGGTTAGTATTTTAAGCATGGTTTTTATTTGATCTCTTATATATATATTGATATATTATAAGATCAAAAGATTTATGATTTATTGTATACACACATATGTATGTTGAAGTATATTTGTAGTATAGTTTAAGAAAAAATATGTATATATTTATATATTGAGCGGGTCGGAGCGGCACGGGTCAATACTAATACCCGGACCCGCCCCATTGTATAGGAGGGGCGGGCGGACCCGCCCCATTTGCAAGACCGGACGGACCAAACCTACCCCATATGTCTCGGGCCATTGTGGGCCATTGAGGGCCAGGTTTTTTTTTTACATCTCTAGAACAGCCATGCCAACACTCTCAACACCCTGTCAATCCACTCTCTGTTTCTTCCAATCTTAATCATTTCTTGTTTTCTAAAGACTCCAACACATCATAATAAATCACCCCAGCAAACTGCCCGCCCACTCCGCCACCGAGCCGCCTCCCACTACGCCGATTGGTTTGTTCCTCCACAAAGATTCTAATAGAATTATTAGAGCCTTACAATTGTACTTTACATTAAACTCTCTTTAATATAAATTGATGGAGTATATGACACAGGGACCCCCGGCCCACAGACCCCCTACTACTCTAATACAGGCCCAACAGGCCCTGGAAGCACATGAGGCCCAAATCACAGCGACCCAAGTGTCAAGAAACCCACGGGTCACATACAGATGCCCTCGGTCCCACGGCCGAGGGCTCCAAAACTCACGGGGCAGTCAGAACTGAGCAGACAAAGATACTGGGAGAAGACACTGGAAAAAGGAGCCTTCGGCCCATGGAGCCTTCGGCATAGTAGATACAGCCGAAGGCATCCTACTCGACAGAATATCCTCTCCACATGCGCCTGAATCACCGTACCAAGTACAACGTCGCATCCAACCACCGCATTTAATGTGGTCACATGAAAATGTCGGTGCCACCCCGACTGAGGTGACCCTCGACCGTCGGATGCTTGACATGTGTCCTTGTCTAGCATTTATTGTTGCTATAAATAGCAGCCCATTTCTCCATTATAAACCACGCTGAATTCATATCGAATATACACTCTCTCTCTTACTTATTTGCTCTGACTTCTCTCTAGTTATTCCCCGCAATAACCCCTCAAATAAGCTACCCCGGGTACACTATCCATCATAAATATATCTTCCAGGGCTCCTCAGAGAGTAACCTTTTCCATTATTCTCACATGGTATCAAGAGTACAATAATTTTTTTTGATCATATCTCACTTCAATAGTCGGCGCCGCGAGCTAACCCTAGAGCCGCCTCCGCGAGCTAACCCTAGAGTCGCCGCCACGAGCTAACCCTAGAGCCGCCGCAGCAGTTTCTTCTCCTCCGGCCCTGCGACATGTCGACGTCCACCTCAGCAGCCTTCAGCGCAGCAACCTCTACGGCCCAGCAACCTTCCACCACAGTCGCCAGCATGCCGCCATCAACCGAAGCTCCTGTCAATTTTGGAACGCAGCCACCGCACACCTCCTTCTCTTCTGGTGTGACGTTCTCCTCCAACTTCACATCACCTAGTCGATACTCTCTGCCCTATTCACTGTTCCAGAATGTTCCATCAGTGTTTCCATGGTCGGCTCTAATTCCTGTGCAGGCTGTACCTCTAGAGCTACCACCCTTTTCGACCGGATCATCGTTTGCCGGTCCCACCTTCGTTGGCTCACCTGGTGTCTCCTCCGTTGTCCCTCCCTCTCGCACACCAGCAGGCAGCCTGGCCGGATCCTTCTCACTGATCTTGCTCAAACAATATCTCATGTGGCCACCAATGTCACAAATATTATGACTATAAAACTTTTGGCGGTGGAAGACTACACCACTTAGAGGACACAATTCGAATTGTTTCTGGTTTCACAAGCTCTACTTGGCATGGTTGATGGCTCCATTCAGGTACCCCTTGCTTTTTCCATAGATGTTCTTAACCGTCAAAATCCCAATCCCGAATTTTCCACTTGGTTGAGAATTGATCAAACGATCCGTTCATGGTTATTTGCAACCCTATCTAGGGATGTTCTTATCGATGTGCGTGATTTAAAACATTCATGTAAAATTTGGGAGCAGTTAGAGTCTCGGTTTATGTCTGCTAGTTTAGCCAGGTCTACGGAATTAAAGCACTTATTTAATCAAACCAAAAAGAAACATGATCAGTCCATGGATAATTATTTGAGAGAAATTAAAATATTAGTTGATGATCTTGCCACAATCAATTGCCATGTGCCTCCTCGTGAAGTATTAAAGACTACTATTATGGGATTGGGACCTGAGTATGAATCCTTATTCACCGTTGTGTCATTATTTCCACATAATTCCCCGTTTGAAAATCTTCGTAATCATCTTCTTGAGTTAGAGCAGCGGGTTCTCTATCTACGCTCCCAGGAGTCCTCATCCCTCCATCAGGCTTTCGGCATTGCTGTTACTTCCCCCAGACAGCCCACTGGCCAACAGGCGGGCCAGCAGCAGTCGGGTACACAATACTCGGTGGGGCAGTCCCAGCACCCGGTCAAGCAACAAAGGCATACGGGCTCCCAAAAGCGAGGCAGAGGCCGCGGTCGCGGGAGAGGCCGCGGGGGCAGGGGCCGTGGTCGCGGACAGTATCCAGTCCAGTATGGCCAGCCACAGACATACTGGTATCCGCAAGGGCAGTCCATTTATCACCCTGGAGGGGGTGGTCAGCTGGGTTCAGCCCGATATGCTCCACATGCAGGGGGTGTGACATCTACGGGTACTGTTATTTGTAATTCTGCTATGTCACATTTAAATATTAATGCATCACCTGTTTGTGTTACTAACCTTAGTTCTGCAGGCTTGTCATCAGACAGGGGTATTCTTGGGTTTGTTCTCCATCCTGTTGTCTGTGAAATTTGCTTTTCTGCAGGTCATTCCGCTGCCACTTGACCTTCTCGCTTCACACAACCGTCCGCCCCTGCTCTGTTGACTACTCCTGGTGAAGCTAAACCTGCTCTATGGTATCCTTATTCAGGAGCTTCTGCTCATATGACTGCATCTGAAAGTATTTTAATTAATAAATCTCCCTACACCGGCTATAATTCTATTAGTGTTGCCAATGGTGCCCATCTCCCCATTCGTCATGTTGGTGATGTTGCATTACCTACTTCTGGTCGTCCTCTCATGTTAAAATCTGTTTATCATGTGCCTCAGTTAAAATATAATTTAATTTCAATTCAAAGGTTCTGCGTTGATAATAACTGTACTGTAATTTTTGATAAAAATTCTTTTTTGATTAAGGACAAAACATTGGGGGCAGTACTTCTGCGAGCTACCAGTAGTGGGCCACTTTATCCTATCCATCTGCCGCCATCATCATCATTAATTTTTGCTTCCGTTTTAGCTTCTGGCCCTCTGTGGCACCGTAGATTAGGTCACTGCGGTGATAGTATTTTACAATTTCTTAAGAGAAAACAATTTTTATGTAGTCATTCTCATTTTACTCATGAGTGTGTGGCTTGTCGCTTAGGAAAATCACAACCTTTACCTTTTATGGATGCTAGTCATAATTCTATTTTTCCTCTTGAAATTATTCATTCCGATGTATGGCAATCTCCTGTGTATTCAAATATGGGATTCAAGTATTACATGTGTTTTATTGATGATTTTTCCCGTTATACTTGGATTTATCCTATGCATCACAAAGGTGAGGTTTTATGCACTTTAAAAATTTTAAGGCTTTAGTTGAAAATCTTTTTAATCATAAAATTAAAATTTTTCAAAGTGATGGAGGGGGTGAATTTGTTAATCATAATATGCAGCAATTTTTCTTGGCTAACGGTATATATTTTCGAAAATCGTGCCCTGACACGCCCCAACAAAATGGGGTTGCTCAGCGCAAGCATCGTCATCTACTTGATTTAACTCGGACTATGCTTCTTGAAGCCTCTGTTCCGAGTCAATATTGGGTTGATGCCATTTTTACTGCTGCCTATATTATTAATCGATTGCCCTCCCCCACCTTAAATGGACTTTCTCCGTATCAAAAGCTTTTTAACCGTGTTCCAGACTACTCGTTTATGTGGGTGTTTGGATCGGCATGTTATCCCAATTTTACTACCACATCTGCTAATAAATTATCACCTCGCTCTGTTCAATGTGTTTTTCTTGGCTATGCATCTGGTTATAAGGGCTATCGTTGTTTTGATCCTCTCACAAGTCGCATTTATGTTAGTCGTCATGTTAGGTTTCATGAGGACATTTATGCGTTTAAAACACTTACCCTACCAGCTCCTTCCTCGTCTAACCCGACCACACTACCTCCGATGCACCTCACTGATATAACCCTTGACCCACCTCCACGCTGCCCTCTAGTCCCCGCGCGAAACCTGCCTGCACCGAGCTCCTCTCAGCCAACTCCCAGTTCAATTTCCTCCCCTACATCGTCACCCTACACATCAATTCCCACATCCCCAAATTCATCCGCCAGCTCGCCACCATTAGTATCCTCCTCCCCAGGTCTTCTAAGACCAGCCCTTCCGATAACCCTCCACCTCCTTCCCCATCCGATATTGTCTCACCCGAACAATCCTCCACTGTGCTCACTACGGTTACGAATCAGCACCCCATGCAAACTCGAGCCAAGGCTGGAATTTTTAAACCCAAAGCAATTTTTAATTTAAATACAGTCGTTACTCCTGCAGATCCTACCTGTTTTACTGAGGCTAATAAACATTTAAAATGGCGTGAGACAATGGTTGATGAATTTAATGCACTCATTAATAATAATACTTGGGAATTGGTGCCTTTTGACAACACTCGTCTCTTCTTTCATCCCAGTCAATGGGTATCACCAACATAACCCTCTGACCTATCTCCTGGACGATGTCAGAAACAATGTCCAAATTCCAATTTTTCCCATCCAAAGTCAAAATATAGACATTTTTAAAATTTGGTCTGATTTTACGCCCCTCCTAAAAATGACACTTTAAAACCAGTTCAATCAGCCCACTAGTTATAGATTATTTGAGTTTATCTTGTTTAATGGGTGTGTTGTATTCAAGTTTTCTATTGATCAGATTGCTGCAACTTAAACTTATTGTTCAAGAGGACCGGACCAAGATCTGTGCGAGTGAATAGGAAGAGGCCCGGAACCGCAAATATACCTCTTGATTTCGAGTGTCACTGGTTTATCTTAGAATCTACCGTTCTTTTACCAAAATCAGCCCAAATTAGGGCCGTTTCAATGCCTATCCGAGATCAAATATATCTGCGTGATCAAATACTCTCTCAGTTCTCGTCTCCTATAACTTTGTTGCTTTCATTTTTAAGTAATTGATTGTATTTTTTTATTATTTGTTTCTCTTGTATACAAATTTTAAGTGTGCACGCGCAAAGAAGGGAGTAATGAGTTATGAGTAAGTTTTGGGACTTGACTACACCATTACAATTTCTTACTCTCTCGGCCATGATTGTCAATGGCCGGCCGATGGCGTTCAAAGTGCAATCTTCAGCAAATTTAATGAGGATTAACTAATTGCATGGGATCTTCGATTATTAGTAGTATAGGAGTAAATGAGTAATCAAGTATCAGTATGCTAAAATCAAACCTCGATGTCTTTTTTTTTTGAACAGCTATGATTTACAAAATGGGTTATAGTGGGTCCGACTCCCCTCCTCCAAATTACTCTGTAATATGACAGCCTAATCAACAGCCTGGAAAGGGCTGTTTCATTTCCCACTAAAAGGGCTCTGATCTGTTTCTCCTTCGCGGTGTTTCCACATTGGGGTTGAGCTTTAATAGTTAGCTTTTCCCTCACTTTCGAGTTTTGACCCATACTCATCCCAAAATTTTCTGCATTTTCTGAGTTCCTTGCTCCACTAGTAAGGTAAGGACAGTGGGAACTGGGAAAGAAGTTTCTACGGTATTATTAGTCTTCTTATTTAATATTTGCTCCTGTGGATGTTGTTTTAGTTACATCTTTATAATTTCAGACGCATTAGCTTGGATGTTCTATCTCACAGATGTTTTTTTACTCTTACACCTATTTGGGTATAATATTGAGCAAGTATAGGCTAGATTGTTGAGTACTGGCTATTATATTTTCTGGGATTTGACGGAGACAGATGCTCAAACCTTGAATTGCATTTGATGGGTCATTGAAGTTTGTTGAACTGACCTTTTTTATTAGGATGGTGAATTTGAGAATACAGAAGTGGATACTCTTTAATTTAGGTGTTTTTATAGCATTATTCTTAGGTTTACCGGGTAAAGGTTCATATGGTGCTTCTTTCACTCCAGTGGATAAGTTCTTGATTGCCTGTGGATCTTCTAAAAATGTCACCTTTCTTGGCCAGATATACATTCCTGATTCTCCCAGATCCTCATTCACCCTGAAAACCTCTGGAAATCATGTTTCTGCAACCACAAATTCCACTCCCCCATTCCCCATATATCAATCCGCTAGAATTTTCACCGCCACGTCATCTTACACCTTTGATATCAAGGAGCATGGCCGCCATTGGATCCGTCTCTATTTTTACCCATTCCCAGACCACAACCTGACATCTGCTTCGATCACTGTAACCACTGAAAGTTTTGTTCTTTTGGACAATTTTAGCTTCAAGAGGTATAGCGGTTCATCATACCTCTTTAAAGAGTATGCAGTTAATATATCTTCTGATAGTTTTGTTCTTACTTTTATACCCTCTGATGACTCTATAGCATTTGTGAATGCAATTGAAGTTGTTTCCATCCCAGATGAGTTGTTCCCTGAACAGGCACCTCTTGTTTATCCTTCTGGGTCTTTTAATGGCCTATCTGGACTAGCCCTTGAAACGGTTTACCGCCTCAACATGGGCGGTCCACTGATTACCCCTCAGAATGACTCCTTAGGAAGGATGTGGGAGAATGATGCGAATTACCTCCACATAAACAGTTCTGCCACGAATGTTTCTGTGAGCCCAATAAGCATAAGGTATCCAGCTACAGTCACACCGGATATAGCACCGAATTGGGTTTATGCCACGGCTCAGAGCATGGGTGATGCAAACGTTGCGAATGAGGATTTCAACATCACTTGGGTCTTCCAGGTGGATCCAAGTTTCTTGTACTTGGTCAGGTTCCATTTTTGTGATATAGTGAGCAAGTCTATGAACATGTTGGTTTTTGACCTTTATATCAATGAGGACATCGCTTTGGCTGAGCTTGACTTGTCCAACCAAGCAGGTGACTTGGATGTTCCTTATTACAGAGATTTCATCTCCAACTCCTCTTCTCATTCTGGTGTTCTGACTGTAAGTGTGGGCCCCGACCAAAGCAGCGATTACTACAATGCGATCATGAACGGTCTGGAGATCATGAAGATTAGCAATGGAGTCGGAAGCTTGGATGGGAATTCATCTGTTGAGCATCTCCTGGGTTCCCCTCTGAAAGAAAACAGTAAGACTAAGATGGCTGTTATCATTGGTGGTTCTGTGGTAGTTGGTTTGTTTGCTTTGGTGGCATTTGGTTTGTGTTGTTTCTGCTTGGTGACGCTGATGTCAAAATACCGTGAGCAGGGACATCCGTGGCTCCCACTTCCGTTGCACGGGAATTCGTTGACTTTGAGTAAAATGTCGATGGTTTCTCACAAGAGCAGCGGGACAGCAAGCTGTATATCATTGGCCTCTTCTAACTATGGAAGATTCTTCCCGTTCCAGGAATTAACAGACGCCACTAATAGATTTGACGAAGCCTTGCTTCTCGGGGTAGGCGGGTTCGGCAGGGTGTACAAGGGCCAACTGGAAGATGGAACCTGTGTGGCCGTGAAAAGAGGGAACCCGAGATCAGAGCAAGGGATGGCTGAGTTCCGAACAGAGATCGAGATGCTGTCAAAGCTTCGCCACCGTCACTTGGTATCATTGATCGGATATTGTGATGAACGGTCTGAGATGATTCTTGTTTACGAATACATGGCAAACGGGCCCCTACGGAGCCATCTCTACGGGGCAGACCTTCCACCTCTGTCATGGAAGCAGCGCCTGGAGATATGCATTGGGGCAGCCCGCGGGCTTCATTACCTTCACACGGGCGCCGCCCAGAGTATCATCCATCGGGATGTGAAAACCACCAACATACTGTTGGATGACAACTTTGAAGCCAAAGTGGCCGACTTCGGTCTCTCGAAAACTGGGCCTGCCATCGACCAGACCCATGTGAGCACGGCTGTTAAGGGCAGTTTCGGATATCTCGACCCCGAATACTTCAGGAGGCAACAGCTCACGGACAAGTCTGACGTGTATTCATTTGGGGTAGTCCTTATGGAAGTCCTGTGCACCAGGCCGGCTTTGAACCCGGTCCTTCCCCGCGACCAGGTCAACATAGCCGAGTGGGCCATGACGTGGCAAAAGAAGGGAACGCTTTATCAGGTAATGGACCCGAATCTCAAGGGGAAGGTGAACCAAGCGTCCTTAAAGAAGTTTGGGGAGACAGCAGAGAAGTGTTTGGCTGAGCATGGGGTTGATAGACCTTCGATGGGGGATGTGCTGTGGAATTTAGAGTATGCCCTACAGCTTGAGGAGGCGGCCATATCAGCTCTTGAAGAGCCTCAGGATAACAGCACCAACCATATCCCCGGGATTCCACTGAGCCAGACATTGGAGAACAGTTTAAGCTGTATTGACAGGATGAACTTGGCAACAGATGATGATGTGGAGGAGGATGCTGCCACCAGTGCTGTATTCTCTCAGCTCGTGAATCCACGTGGAAGGTGACACTCACAAAATCACATGGTTAATTGTATGCAATCTTGACCATTCGGTGGCAGTAATTTTGATCTGAGAATAAGTATATGTGATTGTTTTATACCGGCCGGGAAATAACAATGCGAGGCAAAATAATGTATTGCCATTTCTGAGCCAAAGGCAGCTCCCCATATCGAGCCATTATGTTTGGATTGTTTGCACCACACTTATTACGATAGTATATGTTTGTCCCAAATCAGTGTTCGGTTAAACATGTCATCATATTATAAAGAATCTGCTCGTGTTCAAACTTCATCCATTCACTGGAATATTGTTTACGTAGCAAATATTTTTTCTTCATGCTTTGTCTACTAAGTTATTGTAAATGATTGTTTCAGGCTTTCAGCTAATTCAGCAAATAAAGTAACGACAACCTTATTTATTTTATTTATTGTACAATTCAAACGTGAAATGAAACTACATATTTAGGGAAAACGTCGGTTGATAAGGCTCATGAGCTGAAAATTGAGGCTACCAAACATATTCTAGTTCTATATTCTATAGTCCATTCGAACAAATTTTAAAAACATTGGTAACCCTAATATAGTACTCCCTCCATCCCGCAAAATAGTTCCCGGTTTCATTCTTGGGTCGTCCCAAAAAATGGTTTCCATTTCCCCTTTTGGAAAGTTTTGTGTGGCTCACATTCAGTTACTTTTTTCTTACACAACCACAATTATACATTTCCATTTTATTTCCACTTTTTTAAACTTCAATCCAAGTCAATGTGGGAACTATTTTATGGGACGGAGGGAGTAATATTTGCAGCCTAAATAGCCTAAAAAGAAAAACTATAGCAGGAGACCAAGAAAATGCATGATGCTCATCTCAATGATTTTTTAACTTTAATTAGAATCAAATTACTATTTAAGACTTCCATAGTTATAAAATGCACAGACCAGACATTTATCAGACCAGTTTAGACCAGACCAGACTTAAACATAGGAGACCGGACCAACAAATTCCAATCCAAGTAAAAACATCCTTACTTGTGATAATATCATTCAGATTTATGACCAATTCAATTTTATTTGGTAGTCGGGCTTTAACATTTTTTAGCCTGGGGCTCCAGGCATAACACTTATAGAGGTAACATTTCAGCGTACTTTTATAACAAAATAATATGAAAAATGTATTATGAAAAGTTGAAGTAAAATTGTATCTAATATTTTCACCCAAACATCTAAGGAATATCACCGAATGATCATTTATAAAATGTATCCTTGTAGTAGATGAAATGAGGAGAGCGACTCTTTAGGTCCACCTTCTTGCAAGGCATTTTGGATAACTTCTCATTGATAAGATAATCAATGAGTGGTTGCCTCAAATCCTCGTTTTCAATACCATAAACCAAGGTAGTTGACATTCCAATTATCTCTTCAGTAGCGTTGTCTTCTCCAATAATAGGAGGAATTACCCGTTTTGACATACTCGTGCTTCAATTTCTTTGTCGAGATGTCCCATGTTTTATGCTCACCCCGCCAACGCATCATCTTGCTTGATTTGCTACGCATGTTCTCAATAGTAACTTCACCTAGCCATCTTATGAACGTTCTTGCATATTTGTTGTAAGGATGTAGTTCAGGCTTCCTCACTTCATAGATATCAAGCACTTGATTGATGATTAGTTTTGAATCACGTAGACATTAACCCTTGCTTGTTTCATGTCTACAACTACTTCAATCCCGAGCATTAGTGCTTGATGTTCGAAGACATTATTGGAGCATTGATCTATATGTGTGAAAGCTAGGACAAAAATTGTCTGTCGGGTGTGGCAAAGATAACCCTAGATCTTGCGCCTTCTGTATGTGTGGGCCGTATATCAAAGAACATTTTTCATGGAGGTAAAACTTCAATTATAAGCACATCTTCATAAACACATCTTCACCTTGTATATCTATCATGAAAAGTAGGTAGGGTGGTCATCGATCGATGAATTGAGAAAGATAAGACCGAGGATTCTATTTCAATAGACAAAACTATCCATGGTCACATTGAGACGAAATGCCCCCTTATTCCTTTTTTGTTCGGATGAGACGGCAGTGAGCAATCGATGGAGAGGTACACTAAGAAATCCGCAAAGGCTCGCCCTTTTATAGACTTTGTGAGACATGGATGATTTCGAATTGTGGAAATATCAAGTACCATCTTGTAAGACAATCAGACACAACCACTTTGTACATCATATACTTTAGTGGATTTTCCCAAGACATATAGTGTAAGCTTCAAAGTAGTATTTAAGCTTCTTGATAGCAAATATAAGGACCTAACACAACTTCTCAATGGGCAAGTAATTCAACTCATGTGGTGTGAGCATTCTCCTTCTTTGTATGATTTTCTTGTACTAATTGAGCCCCTACAGACCTTTCTTGAGCACTGATGTAAAGTACTAAATGACGACGAGAGATGGGATCACTTAAGACTAGTGATTTCATTATATAAGTCTTGATGTTATCAATATTTTTTGGCTTACTTGGTCCCATATGATAGGCACACCCTTCTTCATAAATCGACTAAAGAATTGACTATCCCGGATAAGTTTGAGATAAATCTCTGTATATAGGCCAACTTCCCTTGCAAACTCTATAACTCATGGAGGTTTGGGCATGTTTATAATAACGTGAATCTTGAATTGTTATATCTTAATGTCGAACAATGAATCCTAAGAGTTTTCCAGCAATACTCCAAAAGCATGCTTAAGAGGATTCATTTTGAGATAAAATTTCTTTAGACGATCAGATGCTCTTCTCAAGCACGAAAAATGTTCATTGTGCGGGCTTTTGACTTCAAAATGAGGTCATCAACATATAATTCCACGATTTGTGGAGAATATCATCAAACATAACATGGTGTGCATAGCTCATCTATAAGTCACTCCAGTCAATGACAAATTAAGGAATTATCATGAGAGGGACAAATTATCTCATATTATCTCATACATTAAGAATAAATACTGTAAAATTAGTTATAAATAACAAAATTTTCGTTCGACAAAAAATGTAATTAACAAATTTTAATAAGTAAATAAATGAATTGGATAAAGGAGGAATAGTGTATGTATTTATAATAATGTATCTCATCTAAGACTTAGACGCAAAGCACTATGGTTGGACTCGGGTCGGGCCACCCGGCCCGTGGACCGGCCCGGCCCGCTATTGTGCGGGACCGGGACCAGCCCGGTTCTCGGGTCCGGGTCCGGGTCCGGGTCGGGCCTAGGCCCAGGGGGTAGGGCGGATCCGGGCTCGGGTCTCAAATTTGGTGAACCGGTCCGGCCGGGTCAGGCCTGGGCCAAATTGATTTTTTTTTAATTTTTATTTCATTTTTGGGGTTCCACCCGGATTGGGCTTGATGGGTAGGATGGGTTTGGGGGGGGGGGGGTTGGGAGGATGGGGGGTGAGGGGGGGGGGTTAGGAAAGCAAAAAAAAATTCCAAACCGGAGGCCCGGCCCGGCCCGGACCCGGACCGGACCCGGTGGCTACCCAGGCCGGTCCCGGGTCCACCATTCCTGAACCGCCGGCCCGCCCGGGCCTAGGCCCGACCCGGACCCGGCCCGGACCCGAGTCCACCCCTACAAAGCACTAAGCCAAAACTTGGAGCGATCACGAAGCAATTCTGAATAGATCGGATCCAAAAATGCCATAAGTATTTAACTCTCCAATATAGAATGAGAAATATATACATAAACACATACATATACATTGTGCGAAACCATTGTGCGGATGCCGCCACTTGAGGTCCTTCTAGGTAGAGTTTTTTTATAAGATTTTGTGACATAATCTCCGTGAACTGTAGATTATGTCCACTAAATCGGGAAATCAGATAAATAAATTTTAAGCTGACTCCCCGATATGAATTTTAAGTTGAAACTTGATGAACATAATGTCATAACCTACACTTGATAGTTAACATTTCATGCTCACAAAATTTCATCAAAAAAATCACACGCATGCATTCATAATGCGGTTTCACTCCACGAAATGAGAAAATGAAAAGATTCCTATTTAATACATTATATACTAAATTATATCTTTGAGACAGAATTGAGAGTATAAAGGCAAATTTTGAAAGAAAAAATCGCAACAAAAGTTGTCCATGAAATGTGAAAAAAACGGATAATGACATATGTGAAGATAACGTTTGATAATTGTCCAGACTCCAGAAAGCTTCTCAAAAATACCAAAACTGAAAAAATGATGAGGTGGTATAATCTGAGGATTTGTTTTAGATTCCTATACAACTCCATGAATTCTTCCTTGAAATTCTCTAATCTCTCTACCATTACTATTTTCCTGAAAAAGACATGAAAAACAAGTGCAAAAGAGATAGAATCTACTTTAATTTGGAAGATTGTGACTTGCTCGTACTAGGTTCAAAACAGAGAGTTGTATTGGCTGTAAGCCTGTAATAGTGCATAGAAAATAGTAGTATTATAGTGACCAGCAAAATATTCAACATGGTGGTGATACACAGGTTTAGTGGGAGTACAAGCAGTCAGGTAACAAGGAAAAAGAACTGATATAGGCCCCTCAGGAATCATACACAGACAAACCATTCTCAGCCACCACCATATCAACACATCTGTATTGCATAGGAGGACAGTGGGAGTACTGTTTCCACCCAGCAAAGCAAGGACAACGCATCTTTGAGTCATTTACGGTACAGAATGTCATAGTGACCTGGCCGGTATAGCAAGGTAAGAAGAACTGAATGAGCCTCTGGGGCGACGGCCTGCTTGGTGGACTTATCACCGTTGCCTGCATCCAGGTTAGCAGTGGGGATGAAATCATGGTGATTTACTACAGTGACCTCACTGCTGCTGCTGCTGTTTTCACCACCTGACAAAGATGAGCTGCTGCGATCAAGATGGACGATACGGATAGGAACACCCAAGGCATCTGATAAAGCTATAATGTGCACATGGTCACTCTCTTCTCCCATTGGTTCCACCGACGACTTGCAGAACTACACCCACCCACCAACACATTCATCATCATTAACGCAGCCACAACACCCACAAGCAAAGATGTTACTACTACCAAAAGTTAGAAGTCATAGTAAAACTCAACCTGTTCCACTGAAGCATTTGATAACCCTAGTATGAATGGCTCGAAAAACTCTGACCGTTTCTTTATTTCACCAGATGTCACAAACCTGAAGAACATCACAACTAACAACACGAAGTGAACTTTAATTTTATAAAGGAGAAAAATTACATGGAGCAGCATATTGTAATAAAAGCAAATATATTTCATGTTTTCAACCCCCAGTAGTACGTCTTCAATGCATGGAAACTTACTATAGTCAGAAACTGACGGGTCACGAGTTCTCTCCAGGAGTTCATCATGACTGCAGTACGCACAGATCAATCAATCAATAAATAAATAA